TTCAATAATAATAATATTATAATTATAAGATTAAATCAAATTATTAGATGATATTAGGGAACTAAGGTAGATAGATTAGCGAAAGTATATATTCTTCAATTTTTACATTTTTCAAATATAGCTTTTTCAAATATATTTCATTTATATAATATATTTATAATATATAGATTTAAATATACTCTTTAATTTGAGCTAAATAGATTTTTGAAAAATATACATTTTTATTTATATAATAGAGTATGAAAAATTATTTTGGTAGTACACTTTTGCGTACACTACCGAGCCAAACAGGCCCTTAGGGTTATTTAGAGATAGAACATGAAGTTTGGAAAGAGGTATCTGAATATAGACAAAGGGGGAAGGGGAAATAACATCTGTTCAGCCACATATAGCACCAGCCACAGATAGAGTCACGCATTGACCTCAAACGCGCACATCCCATCCATAACGAATAAGGCCTCATCAATACATATGAGGAAGGGAGATAACAAACTGCTTTTATTTCACCTTAACTTCTCATTGTGCATATAGTCTTTCATCGACGACGTAAACGCGTATTTCATTATCTTATAATATTTCCTTTTGGCCGCCTTTGATCATCATCTTCGGCTTCAATACGCGTCGGGTCTATACAGAGAACTAAAAATGGCCTCCAAAAGATCACGGTCGGAAATGGAAGAGGATGAATGCGAGAAAAAGCATAAAGCGATAGCGCTCATTAGGGCAGCTACAAAAGCTGCTATGGAAACCGTGGCGAAGGATGAGTTTGGGAAGATCTTTGCCGAAGCAGAATTGATCATTGCGAGACGGTTGGAGAAAAAGAAACCGAGAAATCGCTCGGGAAATGAACAAGGACAATCGGGGACCAATGGTGAAGGCAGTTCCTCGATCGTGCAGCGCGGTTCGGAGCAGAGTGCACAAAGTGGGTCTTCAGTGGCCGAGCAAAGTATGGAGCTTCAAGGAAGCGATAATACTTCCAGTGCCCAGAGGTTGCCGGCTTGGTATGAAGGGAATATGTCTTGGCCTTCGAAAGGTCGGCGGCGAGGTCCAAAGCCGAGGGAGAAAAGTCAAGAAGGTCTGTTGTCTATGTTTATATCTAGGGGGGAGATTTGCAAAAAGAATCACCCTTTTGCTAACCACACGGACAGAAATTGAGACAGAACGACACCGTATCATGACAGGAATTCAACGAGATTTCGATTGGAATCCCGAAACTAACACTTGGATGCAGAGAGGTCTAGTACCTAACCACGTGCACACGACGGTGAAGCCTGGATCAACAGCATTCCGCGACGCAGCCGCTCGTCGACATCTCGAGGGATGGCTTAGCGACGACAGAGGTCGTGCCATGTGGGCCTACATCAACTCTATCCGAGACGCCATCCCCATCGACGACCCATATCGGTTTTCCGAAATGTCTCCGCATCGGCTCTCAGATCTCTCTCCCGAATGCATGCAGACACTACGATCCGCATGCGAGCTGCTCACCAATACATCGTGGGAGCTGGGCGAATTGTGGAATTTCATGCTCCTCACGCGCTACTACTCGGGTAATAAATGGGGAGCCGCGCGCGGCTTCGGATCTAATGAAGCTGAGCGAATCAAGGAATACATCAGCCTAGTGCGCACGATCGCCGAACAAAAACTAATACCGCATCGACCGATTCCCTGGCGTAAATTCTTCTACTACGAGCCGCCGTCGATGGAAACGCTCAAGGGATTCGGTCTCGTGTATCATCCGTGTGGACTGCTGGTTCCCGATACGTTTGAGAATGGCTGGTATGTTCCGCCGATATTTCGGGGCGAGGAACATTTGGCGGTAGTGAGGTTTTATAAAAATGGGGGGATTTGGTTGGATAGGGAAAGTATGGTGGCGCCGATTGAGGCAAAACCTAGGTATAGGAGTCCTGGGAAGAAACAGGGGGAGTCGTTGGTGGTGGATACGCCGTTTTTGGCGAGCGAGACGGCGTTGATGAGGGAGGTGCAGAGGGCGTTTGCGGAGGGGGTTATGTGTGGGAGGAGGTTGTGATGGAATTGGGCGGGAGTGGGATGGGATGGGAGTATGCTTTTCTTTCTTTACGGAATGGAGGGATATTTCGTGTAAATAGCTAACTGAGTATTAAACCTACTTTGCCTTGCCTGCTTAATATCATATTATGGTATATGGTATATGGCTTATGGTGAGGGACGTGAAGTGAAGTGGATATAGATTACGAGTACTATCAGTGAGTGAGCTTTTACTTGTACGAGAAGAGGGAAGAGGGAAGAAGAGAGAAGAAAGAAGAGAGAGAGAAGAAGAAGAGTAGGAGTGTAAAATACACAATGTTCGATGTATAATATATAAAACATGAAAGAATTCCAAAACAGTTATGGTATTTGTGTGATATAAAGGGGATTTTATATGGTTTAGTTTTTTTTCTTTTGATTTTTTGGAAGGGGGGGGGTTTTGGAGAGAATGTTTGGATGGTGGGTGGGATAGTGTATGCAGAACGAAATGGGATAGAATCAATGATTGGTGATTGGTGAGAGAAAGGGAGATGAGAGAGAGGGAGATGAGAGAAGGGGTGAAGGGGTGAAGGATAGAAATGGTTATTATAAAACATAAAACAGAGAGTGAAGAGAACAGAGCAAGAAGAGAAGGATGGAGAAGGGAGATAAAGAAGAAAGATTGATCTTTAACTCAAGTATGTATGGTGAAATTTTCGTAGGAATGGGTAGGTAGATAGATAGATGATTTGAGATTTCTTGGTTAGTGATTTATTGATAGATGGATAGATGGATGGATGGATGGGTATTTGTTTTGTTTGTGGTAGAGGGGAGGAGGGAAGGAGGGAAGGAACTGGAAGGGGGAATGGGGAGGGGAGTGGATGGATGTTAGATGAAAATCTTGATAATGAATTTAAAGGTTATGAGTGAGGTGTGTAGCTGTAGATATACATATACACAAGTAGATAAATATAGATATAAATATACTCGAGCCGATATTAAACAATTCAAAATCTGAAGAATATCTAATACACTAGTAGCACTCACTACTTGAACATACTTAGATATTAACAGTAGTACTTGTATACGAGTAGAAGGAAATCGACGATATGAATATGATATATAGAGTACTATAATAGCTAAAAGAATAATACATATACTGCTCTCAGGCTAGTAATTAGGATAATGAAGGGAAGATACTAGTACGAGTAAAGTAAAGTCCTCAAGAATCTAGTTATTTAAATTAACGGTAAATACCTGGAATAGCATCATTTTGAACTTTGATACCTGAAATAGCCTAAGTGCTAATCGAGGTATAATATATGCTATTTCAGGTTAAATCTTTTGTATTATTCTGATCACAAAATAAAATATATTAATCTGGTTTCAGAAACAGAAATGATGCTATTCTGGTCACAAATTTATATATTAATCTGGTTATCAAGAAAAAAAGATATTATTCTGATCACAAAATTTATATATTAATCTGGTTATAATAAAATGATGTTATTCATCTGATTACAAAAATTGATATTAATCTGATTATAAAAAAAAATACTATTCTGGTATATAAAAACAATAGTATAATCTATTCTATTCAATTTAAACCTTTTTTTTAAATCATTTTGATTTATACTTTTTTTTCCTTGGATTTTTTCTTTATTAAAAGTAATATTATTTATTTCAAAACAATTATATTATCAATATTATTCGAATCACTTTCTGAATCACTTTCAGAATCATTTTCTGAGTTATTACTAAAACTATCTTTATTTTTTGAATCATTATTTTTGTTTTTTCAATTATGTTTTTTTGGAGATTTCTTTTTTGAAAACCATTTTCGCCAAAACAAATTAACG